CCGTCGTGGCAGGGTACTGGTAGGCCATGGCAATGGCACGAAGCAAGTTAACAACTAAGCGAAGCGAAAAAACCAACTGCTTTAGATAAAAGGCAGTTGGTTTCTCGCTTTGAAGGTTTGGACGAGGTCCACACACGAAAAGATTCTAAACATAACATAACTCTCAAAATGCATCACAAAGGCTCAAATATCTAGAGAAAAGACCAAGAGTGAGAAGGTGGGAGAGACCTTACATGCAGTATTTCAACCAACTCCGGCCCAACTCCAGGAAATGTTTGGCACTTTAAGCCCCGTTGAAAAGAAAAGGACAATTGTAAAATATTGTAAACGCTTTCATCAAACACCTACTAGTACATCAGCACATCAAACTAACTCAGTCCTCTTCTCCTTGGACCACTGGTATGGAAATGCGCATCAGTCCACAGACAGAAACGAAACATTGCATCATGTCGAATTAGGATCAAACATGTGAATTTTTTTTCTGGATGAAACATCGCAGAATCTACATTGAAGATCGGCGATCGACCACACCATGTCTTTTTGGCCAGGTTCACCTCCGAAGCAGCGCCACATCCTCATGCCGGAATGTTTCGGCCACGCCATCAAGTTTCGGCCTGTAAGAACTCAATGCAATGAATTCCATTGAACCGAATTCAATCCATGGAATGCTGGAGCCCAAGATGGAAAACCCTGAAACTTGCTAGTCTTTAGCAAGTCACAGCGACACGAAGATCTTCAAGAGTTTTCAACCCCAAACGGGTTTGTAGCCCTCAGGCAGGGAACGCGGCACCTCTTGCGGCATGTTCACCTTGCTAGAAGCAAGCCGGAAGATTGAGGGTTACTATTCCCGTTAAATCCATGATGATCTCGCGTCGGGGCAACGTACAGTAGTATATAAATGTTCAACCCAAAGAAAACGCTCATACCATCCTCGCTGTCAATGAGTTATGTGGTGCCAAAAATAATCAAAGGGGTCCGCAGAAGTTCCTGCAGCACATAACTTTCGCAGACCTTCCTAAGAATATTCACCCGGCCTCCTCTGGCCCAGTTGGGACCAAGCCGTTTGGCCTCGGTGGAGGCATCCAAGCAAACCCATGGCCGTAGCGACCCGCGATAAATCATTTGCACTGCCGCCTTGGCTCCCCGGCCCGGCCACCAGGTGCACGGGCCCCCCTGAACCGGTGCCCGCAACTCCGCTGCCTGCCTGGCATTCGGCAGCGAAAAGGAGACTTGGGGCCCACTGGCAGCAACTTTCTTACCAACAGAGAACCTTTCACTTGTTCATCGTGAAGTGACATCCATTCCTCAAGCCCCCCATAGGCCCTACGTTGACAGGGCAACCGCTGTGGGGCCTAAAGCGCTTCCCGCATGAAACGGCAGCGGATTAATCTGGAACACGTAATCCGAACACACCGAAAACTTGAATACTGCCACCGCTGTTCGGAAAGCAAGCTGGTTATTGAAAATCTCGGGCTAGGGTTCCTCATGTTCATGGCACGCCGGGCTGAGTGCACACGCCAACACCATCCGTAAAGCGCCGTCCTGGAGCTCGACGCAACTCCCGAACATAGCACAGCCGGTGGTTCTTCTTTTATATTTTTCTTATGTTTTTTTGTCTTTTGTTTGTCTTCGTCTTCGTCTTCTTCTCTTCGTCGTCGTCGTCTTCTTCTTCTTCTTCGTCTTCTTCGTCGTTTTCTCGGTTTCTTCTTCGTCTTCTTCGCCTTCTCGTCTTCTTCTTATGTGTTTCTTCTGCTTATACTTTGTGTTTTCTTCTTATTATTCGTATATTATGTGTCTCCCTCTACGTTTCTTCTTACGTTTCTTCCTTTTCTTCTTCTTGTTCTTGTGTTTTTCCTTCGCCTTCTTCTTCTTCTTCCTTCTGCCTTCTTCTTCCTTCTTCTTCTTCCTTCTTCGTCCTTCTTCTTCCTGTTTCTTCCTTCTTCTTCCTGATATATCTTCCTTCTTCTTACTTGCTGTACTTCTTCTTCCCTTTTCTTCCTTCTTCTTCCTTCGTCCTTCTGCCTTCTTCCTTCTTCTTCTTTCTTCCTCCTCTTCACAGTCTGCTTGACGACGCCCGGGCTGCGTTCGATGCCCCATGTTCCTTTCACGAGGGTCTGTCGAGGCTCCTGCGCCAGGACTGCGTCTAGTCACTTCTGTCAAAAGTCCACGACGTTCGCCTCCGACGTCTGTGTCCTTTCCTCTGGGCTGATTGCAACTTTACTCCGGAAGCCATTCTATGATTTTTGCAAGCTCCTTGAACCGACAACACTGGAGGCTACCAAAAAACAGCAACAACCATGACATCTGGATACCCATGCAGCAGCAGCTGCAACAAAACTCACACCGATCCTTTGTAACCTGGCTCAGGTCTCACATGAGCCTGGCTGAGCTCCACCGTTGAACCATGGCACAGACAGGTAAACATTTGGGCAGACGAGCGAGCGACCCAGCGAAATCTGCAAGCAAGATCTCAGCGGCTTCTTGGGTCGATACCAAATGCTTGCAAGGCCCACTTCTGGTTAACTCTGGGTCACACAGATCCTGTTCTGAAAGCTGAGTTGCAAGTGGGGAAAGTTGCAGGCCCAAAGAAGGCCACCACAACCCAGATCTGTAGGCATGCTGAAGTGACGCACAGCCATCATCACTGGGCAAGGAAGGTTCTGACCAGTTGGTGTGTCTCAGATGTGGCCTCAGGATTAAACAGTTCTGGACTAAGACTAAGAGCAAGAAATTGAAAGCTATGTCGTTTCCTTGCTGTTTGCTTCCTTCTTACCTGTCCACACGAGCCATGAGTTGGTTGCATCTGGGACTGGCGGCCTGCCCATGGGCAAATGGAGTTGTAAAACTTGCAAACTTCAAGGCCCGGTAAGCCATCTAGTGTTTAAACCGCAGTGGAAACAGGCATGCCTGCCTGCTCGTAAATTGTCCTTGGGTTCAAAAAAAAGGTTCTTCCCAAAGCCATTGCCTTTTCCAGCTCCGACCGATCGAGTCTCGCCCTGTCTTTCCTGGAATATCGAAGTGTGACCAAATGCGTCAACAGCTCCAGCTCCTCGCGGCATCAATTTCTTCTCCATTGTGGCCTTCCTGCGCAGCTGGCAGCTGTCCCCAATTCCGCAACTATGGCTTCAATCTCCCCTGCTCTGCCACATGTACGGCGGAAGCTTCAAGAGGGAGCCAGAAGCCTAAGAGGAAAAAGACGTTGGAGTCACTTTTCCACGCCCGCGTGGCCTCAGTCACGCCAGACAGCATCTGTTTCTGCATCTCCCTCACGTTTAAGCTGCTGAGCAGATCCCCACTGACTCTGATGGCCCTCTCTTCATCTTCATGTCGTAGCGCCCCCAAAGCTCGAACCGTGCGAGAAATCCCACGCGTCCAAGAACCTCTCTTTCATGGTCAGGGTCATCAACCTCCTCCACTTCGCAACCCCCTTCTGCTTCATTGCGACCCAGGCTGCCAAGCTGAAACTCTTCGTCTTTGATGAAGGTCAGCTGCCACTTCACTGTTCGGAAGGCTATCAGCCCTTTCTTCATCCCAAGCTGGGACGGATGCGTCAAAGCCACTCTCCCTCCGACCACCCGCCGGCATCAATGCCCTCCATCAATTGAGTAGGAGACATAGCCCTCAATGTAGTCCACGCAGGCTGCACGTTCTCGCCGTTAAAGGCAAAGTCCTCCAAGCGCGGTGCCTTCGCAGGGCTGGCAGCTACAAGTATGGCTCAGCTCCTCCCTGCTGCGCTGCTGCTGTTGCGTGTCCCCTGCCCTGTCTGGGCTCCGCTACCGCTATACTGGTTTGCAATCCTCGAAGGAGCTCACCCGCCCAGAAACCGTTTTTCCTCTTGCTATGAAAGCTCAAGCGCTTCGAGCAGGAAACGGCTGCAGGTGGATCTGGAACATGTATTCGGAACACGCCGAAACCAATGGGGCTCAAATCTCGAGTTCACAACTGTTGTGAAGCAATATGTGGTTCTCATGGGTTTCAAGCTGTTGACGTACGAATCCAGCAGCATCTAAACCACAGCATTCTGGGATGTCAGCAGCAGTCGTGAGAATCTTCGGTGTGTGCTCTTACTTTGGCCTTTGCGGCGGGTGCTGCACCATTCTCCAGTGTCACATGGCCAAACATCTGCCAGCGCACCATCTGTGCGTCTTCCTCACCGAAAAGCACTGGCGGAGCCCCGCCTTGCGAGGCAAAGCCAGCGGATGCTCCTGTCGGTCCTCGGCCAATCACCATCCGAGTCCCTCCTCGGCCAATCCTTTCCCCAACGACACCTGAGAAACCAATGACTCATGAGCCATGAGCTTCTGCCTCTGGTCATCTCCCACCCATTCGCCCTCCTTTGTGAAGAGAAGTTGCATGCTTCAAACCAAGGGTCCCAGTGCATCCTTCGATCAAATGACTTTCAAGTCGATTCAAAACACGTTCAAGAGCCTTTGCAATATTTGCAATGACCGTGACATGTCATATCAGATTGTAAGGTCGCAGGCCCATTCTTCATGTCCAAGACCTTTCAAACTTTTGCAACCCGGTACTAGTCTCCAAAACAAGTTGAAGGCCGTGCCATCTAAAAATTAATGTCCCCTTCTATCCACAAACCTCTGTCCTCCAAGACAAGAATGGTATCGAAAGCTGCATTTGTAGCTCTTCAAGCCCTCCCGGTTCATCCACTCACAAGTCTCCGAAGCGATGCAGCCGCCACTGAGGTGATCCTTCGGCCGCAGGTTCGCGCGAACCACCTGCCCCAGTTCACACAAGCCTTCCATTGGGCAAGCAAGCTTAATTATGAATCGTTGGAGAAAATCAATGCACGAATGTAAGAGGTCATCGATTCTAGGTTGAAGGCCATCGCAACTAGGGTGGAGGCCATCGCTACTAGGGTGGAGCTTTCATAAAGCAGATCGCGCCACCACACATTCCCGTAAACTGCAGGTCGCGCCTGACCCGGCGCCCGCCGCTCCGGTGTCCCCTCTCGCCCACCAAGGCCAGCCTGGCTGGATGCGGGGCTGCCGGGCTGCTGGACTGCCGGGCTGCTGTTGAAATTGTTTGTCTCACCACACTTCCATAGTTGCAGCTTGCTTACCCAGAAGAGTATGCAATGGATCCAAGGGCAAGTGGCCTGTCAGCCACATTGTGCATGGCCTAGAACTTCACGGACAATATTGATCTTTTTTCTTCCACTGCCCATACCAGCCTCACCCATCTCCAAGTGTCCTTGGGTGACTCGACTTTGACGAGCTCGTTCACCGTCACTGGCAGTGGAAAGTCGAGAGTCCGGCAAGGACGTGCCAAGAAATCGGTGGGGACCAAAAATGGAGGCCACACGGGAAGGCACCGATCCAAGTCTCACATCTTACTCGCGACATAATATCTCCAAACTTACCCGGGAACCGCGTAACGCAGCTTGGCCACAACATGACGCTAAGGACCCAAAGCTCCCATGTCGGGGTTCTGTTGGGAGGAGTTGCTTCCCCATGTTTGCGCTATGAAGCCTTCCTCGCTACAGGCTTCGAGCTAACGTGAAGAAGAGAACCTGTGGAGCAAATCCAGGCACAGAGATCAATCATCAGCCGTGGCGTAGGTTGTCCCTCAAGTCGGAGTGCATGGCATTCAGCAACAGCAACAGCCCAAGAGCCTTGTGTCGCCGTGGTTTCACTACCCGTACCCTGGTGAAGGATCATTGCTGGAGTTTCCAGCGAATCTGACACCAAAGAAGAAAAACATGAAAAACAAGCCCCTGTGCAACAAGATTCGATGGAAAGGATAAACTGTAAACATCTATGATTTGTGTAGAGGGACGGAGAGACCGAGAGCGAGGGGGAGGGGCAGAGGAAGAGCAAGAGCGAGAGCGCGAGCGAGAGCAAGGAGACAGAGCTCTCTGAGCTGAGCGTGCACATATCACGTACGGCCCCCACCCTAGTAGCGATGGCCTCGAACCTAAGAGCGATGGCCTCCTACCTGAGAGCGATGGCCTCCAACCTAAGAGCGATGACCTCCAACCTAAGAGCGATGACCTCCAACATATCAGGTACGGCTTGAACTGAAGTTCCAGAAGATGTCAATGTGTGCGTCTTCCCGTGAGACATGACCGGACACCTTAGCATGTTAATTCATGTGAATTGCGTCAGAGTGCGCTCCTAGCTTTTCAGTTATATTTATATATATATATAAGTCAAACAGCCGAAAGCAAGTCGGTGAGCCTTTTCAAGTTCAGAGCTTTGTGTCAGTAAAAGATCACACTAAATTCATCTGGCACCTTCGAGGGGCACAAAGGCCCTCGCCGCTGAAGCCGGTCGATTGGTTCCTGCAAGCAGGAACCAATAAATCAAGGAAAAGCCAGATCTAAAATGAAAAGGAGGGAGAGCAAGACAGAGCGAGGGACCGAACGAGCGAGAAAGCGCGAGAGTGAGAGAGAGAGAGAGAGCGAGCGAGCGGGAGAGGGTGTCAACATTGCTCTTCAATCATGCTTCAACATGTGATCGTGCAAATCACTGTATGTTTGGTGCAAACCAATCAAAGCCCCTCTTTTCACAGGTGCTGAGTTCTCCGAAGTCAGCTGAGTCAGATCCGCTCTTTCCGAGTCTTCAAGACTTTC